ACTGAACAGCACAAATATGCTTGCAAAAGCAAATAAGAGGAAATTCGATACATGTGTATGAGAATGCATCAAGATCGACTTCATAAAATGTCTCAGGCTTGGATGAAGACTGTACTGAGTACATTTGCGCCTCAATATGCTAGAATAATGTATAATTAGATAGATAGTCTTGTTTTAAAACGAAACTTACTTTAATAAGGCTTTTCTCAATGTCCTGACACTTTTTCTCCTCTAAGTCATCGCCTTCGAGTCCAAGGTCCCGCCGAGCGTGCTTGGATTTGTAGTAGGGGACCGTAATTTCTATCAGTGTGTATATCAGAGAATCCATCCTCCGATTTCGCTTTCCCTCGAGATGATTCGCCTTTAATACATGATGATACCTGGATGGAAATCTATAAGAAGGCATTCAATATAATGGAATGATGTACTTACGCTTCAAGCAGCATATTTGTGTCCGAAAGTTCGTGAACACTTCTCTCCTGCCAGTATACTGCAGACCATGGCTTGATATTGTTCATCCAATACGACGTTAAGTAACGAACAACAGAGGGAGGTGCTATGTTCTGAATATGTTGCCAAGTAGACATGAAATCCACCTCGTTACGAATTCTGAGCCACATTTTGAGCGTCTCCCAAAGTTCTGGGAACTCTCGAATATTAAAGTGCTGCTGCCAGGCATGTAAAACATGCCACCAACAAATTAAAAGCTCTGTTTCCGGTGCAGGAAATAGAGCTCTTATAGCACTTATCTGGGCCATGTCCTTGTCTGTCATGAAGAACGCAGGGGTAACGTGTGGATTTGCCTCTCGAAACTTGGACAAGAAAAATGAGTGCATAGACTCAGTGCCTTCTGATGCAAGACACCAGGCTACCGGAATGCCTGCGTTTGAGATTAGTAAAATGAAACGAAAGTATAATATGGACTCACCATGACCCCATCGATTGCAAACTAAGATAGTGTAAAGAATCAGATTCGAGTATTGAGTGATATTGTGAGTTCTGTCAACAAAAAGCATATTACAACTGTATAAACTAGCGGCTGTACGTTGCCAGGGTGTCTGTACTATCAGACAGAAGGTGTCCTTTAAAAGACACGATCCTAAAGGTGGGGAATCAGCCACTGACTTAAATGCAAGAATCGAATTGTTGTCTCTTAGCCGTGCAACCCAAAAGCTTAAAGATATTCCATCATCTGAGTGAAGATGAATGGAAAATGCATCAAGCTCCTTCTTGACACACAAGATGTCCCTCATTGAAACCAAATGATCTCTTTTGACAGAATCAAGGTCGATTTCAGCAGAGGGACCATCGAAAACCCCATCCTGAAGCTGGTGCAACTAGAAAGCAATCAATTAATGAGAATTTAGTATAGAAATACAAATTGTAGACTTACAATTTCTTGTGGGTGAACTTTGAGCTGTAGAAGCTCGAATATACGAGTTCTTGTGGCTCCAGACAGCCTGGTGTATTTCATGTTGTCTCTTCCGATCGGATGCGAATGTTCCGGAACGTATGTTCCTAGAATGATAGAGGTATCAAAATATATTTTGATTTCGACTTTGCACTTACAACCAATCCTCTTAGACTCAACAGCACGCTTCTGATCCTCTTTCCCCTTCTTTATATACCCTTTCACCCCTCCAGTACCGTTCCTACTGCACACAAATGTTATTCGCTCACGAAACCTCGGATCTCCAGCAGCAGAGACCTTTCTTCTAGCAACCCTAAGTTCAATACATTTACTATCCTCCTCTGCTTTCAGCCAAGCATCAAATTCCTGCCTATTCTCCCATCTCATATTGTAGTCCATGTATTCGAGGTCCCATTCGAGCGATCCCCGCTGAGGAAGTGGTGTGGTAGGAAGCGGAGCTGGAGTGGATAATACAGGAAAGGAGAAGAATGCACCATAAGATGCCATCTCCAAACCTTCAGTGCTTGTAGCTGGCATTTCCAGTGCTCCGGAGTTGTTAGAGGATGTCATAGTAGTGTAGCGCAGTCGAAACAAACGCAAGACACACCAAAATTGTATTATTTTGTTTGTTTTAGCCACCATACACTTGTATGCAGCCTAAAGAATGTTTAATTTTCGTTTTAGGAAGGTATGATCTACAATCATTATTCTATCACATTACATTATCATCTATCTAATTACATGAGCACTCTATCATTACATCACTCAGGGCCATCCCTATTTGGGCC